TCTTTCCTATCCTTCGCATACACTTCTAATTCATTGATGAAGTCCTCTAAACACCTTCTGATCATTGGATACATTTTCTTCATCTTATTAGAGCTGAACGTTGGGGTGACTATCGATCGGATTCTCTTCCAGTCGTCACCGCTTTCTGTCACCAAATGTCTGCTCAGAATTGGATGGTTTCGTTGGTTTCGGATGCGATCAGTAAATATGTTGAAGTCTTTGACACAAATTTGTTTAACCAGTTCTGGTTCGGCCACTACTAATATGGGAGCGTTTCCGTTATATATTCTGTTTTGTGTCCAAATAAATTACTAAATAATATTTGAATTTTTCAATCTTATGATTACTCAATACCCGTATATTTTTCCGTATTTTTCTTGCCATTGAAGCGATAGGTGAGGTCTGGGTGTCTTAAATTGATACAAATAAGTACCAACTATAGGCAATGGCTTTGGTCCATTAATTCCCCTTTTTGACCAATAGTTAAAATTTCGTGTTAAATACCTTTATAAAAAATAATTCAATTANGGTGTCTTAAATTGATACAAATAAGTACCAACTATAGGCAATGGCTTTGGTCCATTAATTCCCCTTTTTGACCAATAGTTAAAATTTCGTGTTAAATACCTTTATAAAAAATAATTCAATTATTTTAATAAATTAAAATATTTTTCAACATTTTTAAAATACCAATAAAGTATAGGAATTGCTGATAGAATTCCATAGAAAACCCAAGAATTTAAAAACGTTGTTTCCATACTTAAAACTAATGGATTACAAAAATGTTATTTGAGAATTTTTTATCATAGACTAGTAGCAAGTGGTGAAATTAACTAAATCATGAAAACGGCTCAAGTATTTATATTAATTTCATTCAATTACTACTATTGATGATTATTTTATATAAACCTTAAATTATAATATATATTACAGATAAAATCAATAATTAATTTGCTTAGTACACTTTTTGATTAGAGCATCTGTATTTTTTGTTTTCATATTTATATATTTGTCCTTGAATTATAGTTACTTATATACAGTATAAAACTTATACAGGGTGTACTAGTCATTTGTCCAATAATTGACTATATCTTTTTAAATTAAATTTACATCAATTCAGGTAATGGTATGAAAATAAATAGTAGTGGGATTGAAAGCCTATCAAATGTAGTATAATTTAAGATTTTAGATGACCTCTTAATAGGCAGTGGTTTAAGAGTAAATTAGGTTTGTTGAACATGTCAGATGATTGACCACAACAATTCAAACATTTATATCTCTTATACTAATACAGATAATTATGCCGGCTAAAGTGCAAATTAACAAGCACATGTAAGACCTAGGAAATAATATCTTAGCCAAAGAAATTATATAAACCTTGATGAGTTTTATAGAGAAAATTTTAATATGTCGGTTTTGATCAAATTTGGCAATTAAAAATTAACAATAATGTTTAATGTAGATATAATAAGATTAGTATCCAGGTCTTTAGTTACTGCATATTGTGGCCCGTTATCATACTATTTATACCCATGAATAAAATATCTTATATATATACATAGGCTTTGTATAATAAGAAATTATCATTATATGTTTTATTGAGTTAAAATTTTACATCCTTAATAATATGAATATTTAATGGTCAATATATATAGTATGATAGTCGTAGTACTTATTAATAAAATTATTAAAATTGATACTCTAAGATTACTCATAATTATTGAGGTCGATTTGCCAAAAATCAAATTTACATTGAATCCTATGCATTTGTTATTGGACAAATTACTAGTACCACCCTGTATAAGACTTATACTATAAGTTATACTGTAGTATAGTAAGTGGTATTTTTGTATAAATGTTTAAATAACTACACATACAAATTATGAAACAGAAATGTAGTGCAAATGTAGTTCATATGTAGTTCAAATGATTTTCATTAGTACATCTTTACATACATGTATATGTATATGTAATTGTTTAAGCAAGTACATTGAGTCTAATTAAAATCTTTTAAACAATCTGGACTTTATAAACAAAACATATATAATAATTCTATAAATTGTTTCTTTGATTTTTTATATACGCTATGGTTATAATAATGTACCAGTTAACATTGAGTTTATTTCATTTTATTAATTTTAATTATGATAACAATTTTGATTTAATTAAAAATATAATTTTATTGTAGTTTTTTTTGTTAACCTTTTTTTCAAAACAAATTATTTTAGCGAAATTATTTAAAACATAATACAAACTGTACTGTTATAGTAAAGCATAGACTTAGCGTTCAAATGTGTTTTGTGTAAAGTATTAGTTTCAAAAAATAAACTCTACCCCCTTTCTTTTTATAACGACTCATATGTAAAATATTACATAAATAAGTCCCACAAATGTAAATACAAATAAAGTTTAAAATAAATAATCAACACTAATAGGACGTGTCGGAGGACAGGGAGAGACAGAATTCCCATTAATGAACAGCAGTTTAAGAAAAGCTATTTTATTGAACATTATTTCTCAAAAAGAGTTAAACTATGGAATAGTCTTCCTCTTGACATTAGATCCGAAAACAAGATAAAAGATATTTAAATCAATGTTTAAAGACTTCCACTAAATTATTTAATTATTACATAATTTTAGCAAACTTTTGTAGTTGTCTAAACAACTGTTATCTTATTATCATTTTTAATTATATTAAATTATCTTGTTGATAAAGATTCCAGATAAAGTTTAATTTAATTTGAGTAAATAACTTGTCATAAATTTTAATAATTTTAAGTATTTATTTTAAGTAAGCAACAAACGACAAATACAGATAATAAATAAACTAGTTAACATCAAAATATAAATATAATTATAAATTATAAGCGATAATTTTGACTAAACATTTTGAAATTAATTAAAATATTAATTAATTTCTCCTAATAGATTTTACATAACATAACTACATTTTGTCAAATATCTAAACCATATTTTGTATAATGTTTTAAAATGTGTATACAGGTATTAAGAATTTTGTATGGGGTATGGGGTATGGGGTATGGGGTATGAACTGAAGGGTGTTGAGTACTTGATTGCTTGGCTGGCGATGTACTCGGAGGTCAGAAGTGTTAAGAAAGCGTTTCGATAGTCAATTATTTATTGATTCTCAGACTAAACATATAATTGACACAATTTTCTAATGAAAAAATACAATAAAACAAGCGATCAGTGAAGAGACCTCTGCTCTCACTCTCGAGGACTCGAACTTAAATCAGTCAAAGACTCGACAAGAATAGCATTCATAGACTCCAAGTCATAGAATATCCAGTGTCTCATCATATTCTCTGAGAGCGCCTCCACTCTCATCGCTAGACTCTAAAGTAATATAACATTATACTAAATAAATAATAGAAATGCAATCAAAATATAAATATGAGTCTATCTTCAATAAAACACAGGATATCTCTATAACTCTATAACTAATTATAAAATAAATTCATCGAGATCGATTCGCATTCCGGGACTCTTTCACTGGTGTCACCCGATATGCAGTCATGAGCTCAACGTAAGAGTCATTCTAATAGACTTCCAGCCCTTCCAGTATACAGGTATTCAGAATTTTAAACTTATTGTCTAGCTAATTTGATATATTGTGTATTATAAATTTTTAAAAAATTCATTACTTAAATTCTCAAAAATTGATAAATCTGAATTTAAAGAACTTGGATGACATTTGTATATCATAGTCTCACTTTAATTTTTTAATACTCGTACAAATTAGCGTTATTTTATTGCAAATAATGCAGTACGTTAGTAAAAATCATAAAAAGGTTTTATTTTAAACAATATTATGATGAAATATTATATAATAGGTTGAGCTAGGATATCTACAAATAGAGAATATATAAGGCGTCCGCACAGGAAAATAAACAGTTAGTTGAGTGCACGGCGTCTCAAAATAACAATAAATCAATTCAAATTTGTATTTGTTCAGGTTCATTTATGTCATGTGAGTTAATAGAAATAAAACATCGAAATGTTAGTAATAGTTATCTCTTGTGAATGCCAACGATCACTCGTTTAGGTGTGTGAAGGAATTCATTGCGAATCAATGAGACGGGTATATCAGTGTTGGCACACTTCAAGAATTGGTATCTCCTGATCACATGGGCTAACCCTAACTTGGCTTCCATTAACCCAAACCTCATTCCCACACAACTTCGGGGTCCGCCACCAAATGGCAGATAAGTATAGGGAACTAATTTGGGTTTGTTTTCCGGTAGAAACCTTTCGGGAATAAATGACTCCGGGTTTGGATAAAACTCCTCCAAATGTGCGATGGCATAAGTAGGGATAGAAACTGCCTGTCCCTTTTTAATAGTGATACCGGTGTCACCTAATTTGTAATCCTGTGAAGCAATTCGGGCCACTCTTATGGATGGCGCGTGTAGTCTGAGAGTCTCCGACACGACTGCATCCAAATACGACAGTTTCGATAGTAAGTCGTAATCAATCTCTCCGTTAGTGTCCACTGAAGACATCACTTCTTCGTATAGTTTTTGCTGAACGTCTGGATTGAGAG